TCCCTCCCCCCCATAAGTCTTTGTTCCAATTTTACTCTTTACATATGGAAGATGATTAAATTTGAAATGTCTTTTTCTGTTAATCTCATCACTTCTCATTTTGGAGTCTCTTCCTGTTCAGTGGTGTAATCTCAGATATCAGTCCTGATTTTCTACTCTGTCAGCCTTGGGTTGTTTGCTGGATATTATGGTTTTTACAATTTAGGCCATTGGATCTTGCTATATACTTAAAAATTTGTGAGCCAAGAAGTGGTAGTGCATGCCTTTAGTGCCAGCACTCGGGAGTATGTGTGTGGTAATTAATGCAGGTGCCAGTGGGGACCAGAGGCATTGGGTTACCTAGAGCTGGAGTTACAGGCAACGTGATCCACCTGCCCTTGGGAACCAAACTCAGACTCTCTGCAAAGGCAGTATGTTCTTTTAACGGTTGAACCATCTTTCTGTCCCATCACATATCTTTCAGAAGTGTTAGCTTTGTTCTGGCTTGCTGTAAGCTTTGTGCAGTTCCACTCATCCTTTATCTTACACCAGATTAGTGCTGCTGCTGTGTGACTGTGCCTTGCTCTGCATGTATCATCTGTCATGGGGAGCAGAGGGACCTTCCGAAGACTCCCAGCCCTCCATAAACTGAAGATTACTCAATTTAGGTCTCTAGGCGTTGACCTATCTCAAAAGTTGTTTCTTACCAGACTTAATATATTTTTTCCCTACGTATATCCAGACTGGTATTGGTCCAAGACTCAGTGGAATCTCAGAAGTTACAGAACTTCCTCTCTCTCTTTGCTCTGCCTTATAATGTCTGTATGCACATCAGTGTTTGGGTAGAAGGCTGCCCTCCCTGCTATTGTCCGGGGTCTGGAGACAGATGCTTGCATATTGTGTTAGTTGCTGGTTGTGCTAGTTGTTTTTGTAGAGCTGTAGTCCATATAGCTTAAAGAAGGTAGGGTTTGGTTCACAGTTTCAGGGGGATTTCAATCATCACAATAGAAAGGCATGATGGAAACCACTCAGTTCATGGTAGCAGAAGGAGCCTACTCACATCTTGGTATAACAAAAAACTGAGAGAACTGGCCAGAACCCAAGGGCAGGTATCACCTAAAAAGGTCTGCCCAGGTATTGTCCCTGCCTCCCGGTGTGTGGCCTCTCTCCTAAAGGTTTTAGTCTCCCGGCGTTCAAAAACATGTCTGGTAGGAACATTGTCAATTCACACCAAAACACCAGTCACTACCAGATACAAGAGAGCACAACACCTTCCTAAGTTGGAAACATTTCATTCATTTTTAGAAACCTGCCCCCTTTGTGGCTGGGGTATTAAGTGGGTTAAACACCCATGTTCGGAAGTATCTTTTTTGCTCCTTAGTAAAAGAAAAAACGTGTTCAAAAGGAAATATGTATGTTTCCTTGACAAATTTTTCGCTATTAAATCATGGGATTGTCGGTGATGGTCAGGAGTGTCCGCCCTTAATTCTCAGAGGCAACTTTGCCATTTTCATAAGTGCTACCCTGCCAGTCCCTGGATTTTTTGTTTATGGTGTATAAAATAGTTCTTCATGGGTCTTGGTCATTAGCCGTTGGTCACACGTGTTATTTTACTATGGAGCATGGACAAAGAGCTTTAGCATGAGGCCTCCACCCATCTCACTAAGGAAGCCCAGTGCATTTATTAGGGTTACTACAGGGGCAACTGCATCACCAGAAAGCTATGTTCCTGGACCTCGCTGCACTGCTTGAGGCAGCCCCACAGCTCAGAGTGCCCTCTCCCCAGCGGTTGCTGTTGCATATTTCACCTTGAGGAGAGGGGGCCTTGTGAAGCTTAAAAGGTTGGGGGGAGCTTTCTGAGTCTTGGGAACTTTGTGTACTTGCTTTCTCCAGAGCCTCCTTTTAAAATCAGTTGCAATATAGGGGGCAGTTCTGCTCCAGGGTGTTGAACCAGCTGCCTCTGGATTAGCTTTGTGATAACTGGACTTTGCTGAGTAACTGAAGGTTCTTTGGGTGGTATGAGCCCTAGGGCTACAGGGTAGTGATACAGCTCTGACCCTGTGTACCAGTTGTAAATATATATGAAAGTGTAACATGAAAAACAACTTTTAGGGACCCTATAAAGGGAGTATAGATGGTGATGGTGAGGGCGCAGGGCAAGGTGGGTAGGTATATGAAAGACTTGCAGGTGATGCCTAGATGAACAGCACGAGCTAGCCATTTAAAGCTCTAGGACAAGGTATTCTAGGCAGGGGAATGATGTGTTCACAGGTCCTGAAGTGGGCCTGAATGGGTATAAAAGCACATGGCTTGACTGTCTATAGAGTAAGAGCAGAGAGGCACAAATGCTATAGGCAATTGGGATAGGCAGGGACTTACCGTGGTGGTGGTGGAGGTGGTGGTGGTATGGAGTGTCAAGGCTCAGTCTTATAAGCTCTTCTTATCTAAGTTCATGGCTATGTGCCTCCTGTTCATCACAGATGAATAACAGTGACCCCAGAATCTGAAATCCGCAGGGTACTCTAGCACAGTGAGCCTGTACTTATTCTATGGGAGGGTAGGAGTGTGGGTGGATGGGTGGTTGGGCAGGGTATCACTGTGTAGCTGTAGCTGGCCTGAATTCACAGAAATCTTCATTCCTCTATCTCCTCTAAATGCTGGCAATACCATGTCTGGCAAGTTGCTTGCATTTGTTCAGCCTTCAGTGATCTTCATTGTTAGCTTTAAGCTTTGTGCTTTAAACAGGTAGAATATACCAGTTGGAGAAAGTCGTGAATTTTGTTATAGGATTGCTGTACATGCATATAATGTACTTGATCATAAAACCCCCTGCATTATTCCCAACCTGCTGTCTTGGTATCACCCATGGACATCAGTTTCCATATACTGCTCTGCAGCCCTAGATGTCCCTACCTGTCTTCTGAACATACTCCCATGAATGTGCTCATCCTTGGTAAAGCCAGTGTCTCTACCTCTCCCCACTAGGATCCCCTGTGAATGCCCCCTGTCCTGCTCACTTGAGCTCAATAGTTCGGAATCATACACAGTCCATTTTTGTGTACTCAAGGAATTACCTGGTTCTGTTGACTCTGAATTGAAATGAGTCAGGGAATGGAGAGCCAAGGAAGAAGTAGAAACTGTGAGTGTAGACCAGAGAAGGTGTGGTGGGCACGCCAGTAAAGAATGGTGCTGAAAAGAACAAGTGAGAGAGCTCCAGGCAGAGTTATTAGGACAGGTTTTGAGCACTGGTTGGGGAGGATCTAGCAGAAGAGAAAATGAAGCTTAAAAGCTTTCAGAGCTGTTTAACAACATCCTGCCTGACAGGTGACGTCAGGTGTTCTTTTCAGGAATGAAAAACTTGGGTTACAAATCCTCTAGAAATGCGCAGTTGCCTGGATTTGCCTGCCTGGGAAGTGATGCTGGGCCACTGTTGATAGAATTAACCCATTGAGCCTTAGCATTTATCCCAGTATGAATTGAGAAAATAAATTCATATGCGGCTCACAGTGATTCCTATGAACAAATAGTGTCCTGATAGAGAGTGAATTGCATAGTAGCACCACAAAAGCAAAAACAACAATATGTGTAAGACCCTGCGCCTCTAGCATTCCAGCGCCTGTTCTTAATGGAGGGAGGAGAAAGACTCATATTTCTTTTCATATAAAGAATCTGGAAGGTCACTAGAAGTTCTGCAGTGGGGTGGGAGGCTTTTTAGCACTTATCTTGCTATAGCTTTAGGTTATGGGAGGGAGAATCAGCATTGGGGTAAGCTTATTTTTAGATTTTTTTAACTGTTTGCATGTATGGCTGTTTTGCCAGCATTATGTCCGAGTACCATGTGCATTCAGCCAATGTCCGAAGAGTCTAGAAGAGTATAGGAGCCTCTGAAACTGTAGTCAGAAATAGATGTTAGCTGCCATGTGGGTCCTAGGAACTGAGCTCAGGTTCTCTGCAGGAACAAGTATTCTTAACCACTAAACCATCTCTTCAGCCTGCTTTTTAGATTCTTGAAATGTGTGCATTTATAACCTGCTTAGATTTGTCGAAAGACTAAATGTGATTTTTATTCCAAAGATTAACACCGGTGGTGTTATTTCTTCCTTTGTGACTGTCCACTGTATTATAATAAAAAATGCTGAAGGTCAGTCAGTAACTTAATGGTAGACCCCAGCATGCATGAGGCCCTGGCTTTGATCTCTGGCATAGAAAAGTTGAAGAATCATGTGCTAAGACTGGTTGAAAAACAGTATCTGTTGACCCTGGGGAGCAGTGGTGCGTGATGAAATGTTGCTAGGGGAAAGGAGCGCCGTCCTTCAACAGATCCCACCTGTGTGATTCAGGGAGCGGCTTGAAAGCTGGGTATAATGGTGCATGCCTTTAATTCTAGCACTTGGGAAGCAGAGGCAGGAAGATCTCTGATTTCAGAGCCACATAGTGAGAACTTGTCTCAAAAAAAAAAAAAAAAAAAAAAAAGACTTGGTAAACTAGAATGGGTCCAATAGGCAGCCCTCTCACGGGCATGTTCTAGGGTAACATGAAAAAGTTCTTCCTGTCCGTGATGCCACAAGGAGCAGTGTCAACTTTTCCATAGGACTGCCAAGACATGTGGCTTCATCTCTGTCTCTTTTGGTCCCTCTTGGGTTTAGAATAATGACCATTGGTTGACTAGGCAGGAGATAGCCTTAACTCTTCAGTTCTTTGCCAGTCGGTCTCGTTTTCCTTTTCAGATTCTCAAACAGAGTGTTGAGACCCACTCTCTAAGTCCTATCTTTTACAGGGCTCAGATTTTGGAACTTTCTTTCAGTGGGTGCATGTCCAATATTTTTCTTTTTGAACACTAGATAACCAAAGTGATTTCTTTAAAAGTGAAACTAAACCTGGGAAACCTTGTAATTTGTGATGTTTTTTTAGTAGCTAAGTCCTGGGTTTATAATGGGCATCTTTGTCTAATTCGGAGGTGACGCTGGGGGGTGATTGATGGTAGGACATCACAGACCACTGTGATTTCAAACTCTTGGCAGGTACATCTCCGTTCATGGATGCGCTAACAGCCAATGGGACAGCCACCATACAGACGTCTGTTACAGGAGTGACAGCTGGGAAAAGGAAATTTATTGACGACAGAAGAGACCAGCCTTTTGACAAGCGGTTGCGTTTCAGTGTGAGGCAGACAGAGAGCGCCTACAGATACAGAGATATTGTCGTCAGGAAGCAAGATGGCTTCACCCACATTTTGTTATCCACAAAATCATCAGAGAATAACTCTCTAAACCCAGAGGTGAGAGACATGCCCAGACTGGTGTCCTGGCCTGCTTTGTTGAGTGACACTCTTCCTGATCTTTCTAAGCCTTCTGGGGAGATGATAGCTGCTTTGTGTCACACTTGTGGCCACAGTGACACATCCCAGGAGGAGGGTGCTAAGCAGCCACTCCATTCTCCTGCTTTGGGAACTGTGGCTTTAAAGTAGGGTGTGGTAGCTGCAACCTCCCTCTCTTCATCCCCCACCCCCCAGCCCCAAGACATCTGTAGACCATGGGCTCAGCAACCTTAAAGTCACATGGAAATGTACATACATGGGCTCTGCATTAGCTCACATTCATCAGAATCTTGACGAGTTCTTTGTTCAGACCAGATAGAAGTACCCTGGGTCTTAGTCCCTTTCAAGACTCTTGGCTGTCATCCTGCTGTAAGGGTGCCATCAGCATTGTTGCAGACACATGTCCTTGTCAGGACGTAGTAATAGATGAGGGAGCTTTCAGTGACCCAAGGTAACTAACGTGCTGACAAAGTTTGGGAACCAGTTCTGTGACGGCTCTAGAATTCAGTGTGATTAAACTGCAGTATACCTCACAGAGGTTTGCATTCTGGTGGTTGCTTCTTTGCCAGCGTGCACATCTTGGGCAAGTAGGTATCTGGCCAGAATCACAAAAGGCTGGTCCTTGGTCCACCTTAGACTGCAGGGTGCCTTGGTTAGTTACTTTGAAATGCCTCACGAAGGTCCGTTCAAGTGGCGTGTGCACGGTGGTGCGCCCCCCCCCCCCCCCCCCCCCAGTGCACTCACACAGCACTTCAGTGTCTTCGTTGTGTTAGGTTGCTAAGAGGAACAGCCCAAACCCCAGAACCAAACTCCTTTCTTGAAACTGGCTGAATATGCCACCTGCTGTCCAAACTAGAAATTCCAGAAGATACCTGTGTGACTTGCCTTGTCTGCTGAGATCTGCCCACGGTGGGTGTGGACCAGCCAGGCCACTGATGTTTATAATTTGCCGTGTACTTGTATTTCTGCTTCATCCCTGACACTGTAATCACTGGTTATAGAAAACATGAAGCGTGCTCAGTGTTTGCAGTCAGAGTGGGTGAGGCGAACCACATCAACGTGGAGGTGCATTTATTTCAGACCTGAACTGTCCCATTAAGGAGTGCTTTGTTTAAAAAAAAAAAAAATGCTTTGTCGGATTCTGTGCCCAAAGTGCTCTTGACCACTTGGGTTTGTGGTGACTTCCAGGTGATGAAAGAAGTTCAGAGCGCCCTGAGCACAGCCGCAGCCGACGACAGTAAGCTGGTGCTGCTCAGCGCTGTGGGCAGCGTCTTCTGTTGTGGTCTGGACTTTATTTATTTTATACGGCGCCTCACAGACGACAGGAAGAGAGAAAGCACTAAGATGGCAGATGCTATCAGGTATGTACAAATGGGGGTTTCCAGCAAGCCACTGGGGTCCAGAGGGTCTTTGAGAGAACAAGCCTCATGGAAAGTGTACATCTCTTCTGAAAGGCACGTAGCAAGATTAATAGACAATGATTAATTGTCTATTAATTAATAGACAATTAATTAATTGCACAGGTCACTGAATTCAGGACTGGCTTGAGCTCGGAATTTAGGGCCCACTGTGATGATTTAGCCTACTGTGTATCTGTGCTGTGTATTGTCTCTCAAACAATAGCATGCCGATTGCTGTCCTCGCAACCTTTGTGACAGACAGTTCCATAAGATCACACAGTGGATGTGGTTCTTTCATATTGTTCTCCCCAATTTCCTTCCAACCACACAGAAAAGTAAATAATGCAATTAAAAGTCCCATTTTCTTATACTCATCCAGAAAATATGCTATTTAGTTGCATGTGTTTCCAGCCTGTTGTAAATATTTTTAATTTTTTAAATGATTAAAAGCTGTATTTTCAGACAAGTACATTGTAAAGTGGCTAGATCACTTGAGTTGTCCCTCACACTTCTGTGATGAGAACTTGAAGAAAAAAAAAAATTTTTTTTTTTTTTTTTGAGACAGGGTCTTGCTGGATCCTGCTTGAGCCTGCCAAGTCTTGGGATTATATCCAGGTCACTAGCATGCCTGGCTTGAAATCCACTTTCTCAAAAGTTTTCAAGTCTACAGCATAGTCAACATGCCCTTCTCAACCTAAGCATTTTAATCTATGTCCGTACAAGTAATACAAATTTAGTTTGGATTCTGTTACTTGTGTGAGTTATACTATTACTTGGCAATTTCTTTTAGTTTTTTGTTGTTGTTTAATGTCACATTACTAATGTGGAGCTACATCCATGCCCCCGGTTGGTATTTTCACTGTATCCTAATAGTTCAGAAGCCATCCTTAGACCCTTCACATCTCGCTGTAAGCAAAGCACATTTCCTTTACCTTGCTGACCACTGCAGCTAAAAGTAAGAGTGTCTTAATTTTTAGAGGTGAGTTTGGTTTGTGAGGCCATCCACCAACCCGGAAGGTCTCTATTTCCCTGCCCACTTCTCTAAAAGGACATTGTCCTCAAGTGAGCCCCTGGGACCCTTTTGTGTTTACCTTTCTCATTTTAGCAGACCGAAAATTGAAAGACTGGCAGGTGTGCAGGTGCGGTAAAGTAGTTTGGACCTTCTCCCAAACTCCCAGGTCCTTGTAGAGCTGGAGCTGAGATTCTGAAAGTTTACAGGCTCAGCGTTACGCCAGGGCACTCCTGGTCTCCTCTGCGCCCCCAGGCAACACACAGCAGGGTGGAGTGGGGTTTTGTTCAGTTTTCTGTGTTGGTGCCTCTGGAGTATGACAGATCATCTCTTTGACAGATCACCCAAATGGTTCTCACAGATACTGCCTCCAGGCCCTAGAACCTCAAATCTTGGAATTACAAGGCCTCGCTTTGGCCTTACATAACATAGTTCATAGTTCAGTTTCAAAATTAACAGACACCTGGATAAAGGAGGCTCCTCCCCACCTTCTGTTCCAAGAGCATCCAACCTGTGGGCCACAGACAGCCAAGGATGGCTGTGAATGTGACCAGCACAAAATCATAAGCTTACTTAAAACTTAGTTTTTTTAAAAACTTCATTGTATCGTTCTCAGACACGAAACTTGCACAAGTATCCTGTTGCAGTGTAAAAGGATTGACTGTGCCTGCTGGCTGTCTTTCTGAGTGTGATCATAGCCTGATCACTTTTTTCCTCAGAATGTTGAAATTGTATAATATTACTAAATATTCAGAATTTTTGATCTCCTAAATATTTTTCAGGCTTGTGGTATAGTATAGTAGGTGGCACACTCTTCTTTTTCAGTTGGAAATTAAGTTGTTTGCTTAACGTGCCTAAGTCCCTGACAGATTGTCGGTACCTGTGAAACAACTGTATAGCAGTATGACACACTTACCAGCTGTGCCACTGAGGCTCTGCTCCAGGACAACTTTAGATGTTCCTCACACTTGGCCTCCATTTGGGATCAATGGGCGTGAACTTGAGATTGATTTTTACCCAAATATGGCAGCTTTGAGTATTTTTCCATGTGTTCACATTGGATCCACACAGAAAAATGTGTGCTCTGATAGCCCTGGCCCAGTAGAAATTAAATAAAAACTAACAGAAAAGTATATGTTCTCATAGCCCTTGCCCAGGTTTTAAATAAAATAAAATAAAATAAAATAAAATAAAATAAAATAAAATAAAATAAAAATATAGAGCTCACCAGCCAGTGTCTCAAAGTTTGGCTCCTTTTTCCAGATGCACTTTCCTTGAGCTCCTCATGTGAATCTTCCTGAGGCTCTCTCCCTCCAGTGATGAGTTACAGCTGTTGGGATTAGAAAAACAGAAAGAAAAGCATTGAGACAGATTCAAATAATCTCATTTCCTAAACTTATTAAGTAATTTTAAATGTTTATTTTCTTTTTGTTTTCCACCCTCCACATGTCTGCCATAAACAGCCAAATCCTACTTCAGTAAAACATACCTGTGTCTTGAAGCAATACATTCTTGTTGATAGGAGTTTTTCTTGATAATCCTTTAGCAGGTCAGGTAAAGAGTGAGTCATGCCACAGTCGGTTAGCTCGTGCTTCTGTGGTATCCCTTGTCTCAGATCCCTTAAAATTGAGGCAAAGGGACTTCGTTGTGAGTTTGTTGAAATGAGACCGGGGAAGATTGAGTTAAACACTGGTTGTCCATTGTCACACCTTGCTGGCACTAGCCACTTTGCAGATGTGTTATAATAAAGTGTCCAGGACACTAAAAATAAAGGCTCAAGGACCGGGAGTCTGCTCACAGCACTTAGCTTCTGAGGTCTGTGGGCCAGCTGGCACCTCTGCTGCTGTTTAACTCAGCCGAATAAGGGCAGCAAATTGTCTGGTAACAATTATAGATCCTCATTGCTCCACTTTCTCCAAACAGCCCCAGCCTTATGTGAGATTATCTAGCATTTTGATACCAAATTAGTAAATGTTCTTCCCAGCAGGAATTTTGCTTAATTTAAGCCAAGTCTTTCCAAAAGAAATAGGCAGCTCCTTCCTATGATACTGGCTCTTCAGGGGCTCTGGCCTGAGGAGAGTCACGACCTCCCCTCAGGGAGGATTGTATCTTGACTTGATGCTCGCAAAACTAATCCTTCACGACCCTGAGAAGTTTGTGCTAGAAAGGATGCCGTGCAGGTTTTGGGATTTTCTGTGTGGCCTTTGTCTTTATCTGTTATCTCGGTTGACACATCAGAGTGGTTAGTTCCCGATAAAAAGGGGAAATCTTCGTTCCAGACTAGAATTCTGACCCTTCCAGAAAGAGCTGAAGTTAGTCCAAGCAACAATAAAGTCTTAAGATTTTTTTTCCCATAAGACTTTAGAAACAAACAAACAAAAAAAGACTTTATAACAGGTTTTTGTTTTATGTAAACTGGTATAGCAGCAATAAACAAACTATAAATCCTTATATTATTTCTCTGATTATTTTATCATTCTGATCATTCTTTTCACATTAATTACCATCCCATTGTGGTTTCTAGATCTCAGCACTATGGCAGCACTCTCGGGATGTGGAGCACGTATTTCAAGAATATCTGCTCCGTGTCATGGAAACCACGATTTTAGCAGTCACCTCTCCAAAAGGTGTCAGGGACAGCATAGGTCGTGTAGTCCCAGCCCAGGTTACTGACCCTCAATCTCCAGAAGGCAATAAGATTGTGCCTGCAGCACCAGCCTGCTCAGAGGTTGCCTGGCTCTCTTCCTATAGCAAGCCCCAGGTGGTCTTTCTAACGGCTCCTCGGGCTTTCTCATCTAGGAACCCTTAGTGAAGACCATTTATTTGAATGACTTAATTCTTGTCAAGTCAGAAATCCCATAAACTTTGAATATCTTCTGCTCAGCCTGGAGTCAGCCTGGTGGCAAGCTGCTGAACTCTGCAGTCCTTCGTTGGTCACCTCACTAGGCTTAGGGACAACCTAAACTACTGGTATTATGATTTTCAGAGATGTGAGTTCTCATTGCTCCAGTGTTTTAAATTGTTGTTATGGAAAACAATTTGTTGGCTCTTTACAGTGCTAAGAGTTAGGCCCAGGTTTAGAATCCAGTCATGAATAGCTCTAGGACCTTCCATTATGGCTCATTCTGCCTGCGAGGGACTCCGGTCTATATTTGGTTCTTTGCCTTTGCTCCACCATGTTAAATCGTAACAAGGAGCCATCTCCGAACACATAGCCAGCTTCCAGGTGTTTTTCCCCCATCCGAAAAGTGATTTTCCATCCTGAGCCTGAAGCAAGCCCTCAGGTAGCATTGGCTTTGTTTACTGGGTATGCACTTCCACAGTAAGGGCACTGCTGTCCTTTGAGCTCCTGCTGCAGTCCGAGAGTCTCAGACCACCCAGTCCCTATCTCCCGGCAGTCACTCGGTGTAGTGCAGGATAAATTCAGGTTATCGCCAGCTAACCATGGTCAGAAGTCACGTACCAGGGCTGGGTCTGACCCCACACTTTCTGATTCCTAGCCCACTATTGTTCACTCAACTTCTGACATTCTTGGTGTGTCCCAAACCAAACTTCATCAGAATCACTCCTTGGTTGGTCATGAGCCCTGAAATGCGGTTGGACTCAAGCAAGATGTACTGGGTAGAAAGCCCTACCAACTACAGGCCCAGACTTTGTGGCAGCGCCTTTCTGCCAGGCTGTTTTTAAGCCGTACATACAACATACAGCAAATAAACCCATGGCCCACAGCTTGAGAGAGCACCTTAAGCAAATCTCATCTCTTAATGATTTTCATAGAGTTTACATCTTGGTAAATTGAATTCCATGATAGACTTTTTTCATCTGCTCAAAATATGCAATGTTTTCAGTAATTCCCCATTTATTTTTCATTTTAGAAACTTCGTGAATACTTTCATTCAGTTTAAGAAGCCTATTATTGTAGCAGTTAATGGCCCAGCCATTGGACTAGGAGCATCCATATTGCCTCTTTGTGATGTGGTTTGGGCTAACGAAAAAGCTTGGTTTCAAACACCCTATACCACCTTCGGACAGAGTCCAGATGGCTGCTCTACCGTTATGTTTCCCAAGATTATGGGAGGAGCATCTGTGAGTACCATTTAAAACAAACTCATTCTAGAAGCCGTCCTGAGGAGATCTAGCTGGGTTATTGTTGTACATGATGTATATAGTGTGCCATTCTGTGGGGACTTCCCCTACCAGCTCTACAAACAGTTCGGTTTGCTTCATGAAATGCCACGAACTCTGTGCTGTTTGTTGAGCACCATTCCCCAGGAGCTTACGGCTCTCGTGGTTAACACTGGTATCCACTCTCCATCCAAAATCCTTCACTTCAGGGGGCACAGCGTGCATAGGAAAGCAAAGGGTGTCCCCGCTTCTGTGGTTTTGCTTTTTTCAAACTGTTTAAACAAATCCATCTGTACTCATTCATGCTTATATTGTAGCTTGTGTTTTGACAAGCAGATACAGACTTGCACTAAGACAAAAAGTGATGTCATGGATGGGGTTCTCCTCAGGTGACTTCTGCAGGAAGTTTCAGAGAGTGAGTACCTGGTAGAGAGCTGCTGAGACACACACACAGCTCTGCAGCATCCCCTGCCTGTGGGCTTGCATGGCTGCTGCACGTCCATTATCACTGTGTGTGGGCCTCACAGGAAGATGTTACCCATGAACACAATGACAGAACTAATGCGTTTCTGAGGAGCTGGCAGCCATCTGCCAACAGCACCACTCCCAAGTGGGGTAACAGACTTTTGTTGGAAGGGATCACAACCACTTGTGGTCTGTGCCCCTGAGACCCACCTCCTACACAGTTGAAAGGAAGGAACATCTCCAAGTGCCTCTTCCTGGAAGAGATATCTTGAAGAGGGAGATTAGACAATAAGAAGCTTCTGTCAGAGCCACCAAGCATTACAAAGAAGGGAAAGGACGGGTGCTTCCTCTGCTGGTTGTGGTGGAAGGCCTAGCAAGTGCTCCCATACAGCAGCCAACCTGTAAACAGCATACACGGACCTCAGAATACCCCAGAAAATGCAGAGGCAACCACAGCTTCACTGTGGACCCTCTGCCAAAGAACGTCATCAACAAGAAGCACGTGTTTGCTGGCCACGCGCCTCCCCAGTGAGGGCAGTAGTCCTTGGAGCCCCTGCTGTGGTCGGATCACACAGCACTTGATAGAGTCCATGTATAAGCCTCAGAGTACTTGCTGAGCAATGTTCCTCAGAAGCAGCAGGGACATAGGAGATGGTAAAAGATAGGG